GATTTCAGTCTGAGAATCTGCAGTTTTAGACCCCAGGGATTTCACATTTAAATGAGGTAGATCTAAATATTATCTACTGTGGTCATTTAGATACTTAACTGTCTTGTGGTTGCCCAGCATCCAACATCCAAAAGCAGTCTAAAGCAATTTCTATTTTTTCATCAAAAGGAAAAAGTTCCTTTTTTTTACTTCAACCTCCCTCAAAATACACAATATATTTATAGTCTTAGTATTATTATAGTCCTGTGTATCCTTACATTATCAAATTCAACACCATTTTTCTTACATATGAGAATATGTTAATGACCTTGGCTGTTGTTGACTGATTTTTCATGCTGCTCTCAAGTTTTTCTGATTCATGGTTCAGTTCTATTAGAAGTGCTAATGTAACTGATTTTATTGCTTCACATGCTATTTCCCCATCATACGATAAACTTATTAGTTGAGATCAGGGCTAGTTATGTCCCAAGGCCATCGTTCTTGGATTATGAAAACAGCATAAAAATTTTATATTGCATGATTATAGGCAGAGGTTTTTTTCTTGCATGTATAAGTACTTAGCTTACCTCATAAATTAATGCAATCAAATAATAGTCAAGAAAATCACTATTAATGATCAAATGCAGCTCATATTGCATTCAGTTCATACTTGTCTGCATTTTAAAATACAGAGCTTTCATGAGATTTGTTTTCTGTTTAAAAAAAATTAAATATACTTTTTACGTATTACCTACCAGAACTCTGGAGACAATTGAATTCTGATGGTCATTTTTTTTTAAATAGCATTAAAACGATTAATGCAAAGCACAGTTTTAGGCTATAATGCTAATAAATGTATATGCAGTTTTCCATATCTGGGGAAAACTTAAATTATACATAGAATAATATAGAACTAAATAGTAAAATGGGGAATTATGACAGGGTCAGGTTTTAGGGTCATCAGCATTTTGTGTCATAATTGAGCCTAAAAATGACTCTGAGTATTTATGATAAATAGGTAAATTTATTACAAAACATTTATAGTGATACTGTCAATATTGGAGAGATACAAATGATCTCTGATTAATCCTTCTTGCAGGGGTGTTGATACATAAAATGTTAAACTTCTAAACAAGATGAAGTTAGAAAAGTAACATAAATTATGTTACTGTTTTCTTTAAACAGAAGTAATTTATTAGTATTAAATCATTTATTTTCCTATGAAGTTGTTGATCCAGAACAAGGTGAAAAACAAAGTTTAAAGGGATTGTCAATCATGCCACAAAAAGAATCCATAATGTAATCAAATTTACCTTGGATCAACAAACTGTTCCAACATATATTAATAAAATCCTTGAATATTCAGGTTTTAAAAAAAACAAACAAACATCAATTCATTTAAATCTATTGCATTCTTTTAATTTTAACCCCTTAAGGACGTTTTACTATTTTGAAACACTAATATTTGTGTTCGGCGAAGTCTCCCGAGTATAACAGTACCCGCAGATTTTATGGTGTTTTCAAAAGTTACTGAGTCAAATATAAGGCTTGAATTTCATTTTTTTCCCATTAAAATTTGCCCGATTGGTTATGTTGCCTTTGAGACCGTATGGTAGCCCAGAAATGAGAATTACAGATGGACCCAGTCTGTCATGCGTCGTTAAGTACTTCCCCAGCAAGTCCCTCATGCGTCTTTAAGGGGTTAAGATCAATAGCAATGTTTATATTTACACATTTTTGTAAATGTAAATTATTAATTGTATATTAACATGTTCTGGAACTCTACAGACAATAGTAGGATCATTAAAAAGAGAATCGTGCATAATAGAGAGTGTAGTGTAACGGTTATCATTTTTGCAGATGCAGTCTTTAGTATTATCCTGCCAATGTCTTGATTCTCAAATCAATTCTCAAGGACCATCTGTGATCCAGCTTTTACACATCTCTCCCAACAAAACAGAGCTGGGTAATCCTTAAATCCTTTTCCACTCTAGTTTTTGAGGACAACACTGAGAATTAATTCACCATCTCACTGAATTCTTAAATAATATAGTTATTTTTTCACACATTTGAGCCAAATCTTAATGAACACTCACTCGTTGTTGTCAGTATTTCCCCTATGCTGTTTTTGAAGGAAGTGTTTTTATCTTAGACAAGGGCACTTATAGAGATTACATGGAAAACTCTGAGCCCTCCTACCTTTCTGCACACATACACATAGGCAAAATGTCTTTCATTGAATTTCCCCACAAAGTCGTGGAAATTAATGTTAACTCCAAACATAAGAACTTTATCATGAATCAAATTACTTATTTTTATTCCCTGAATGAAGAGAAATTATGGTGACTTAACAAGCCCAGGTAAACAGCAGAGGAGGGAAAATGTGAATTAAGACAGGAAGCCATTATTTATCAATCTCATACTTGCTTCCCAGTGCTGCATGTCCCATTATTTTGATCTGGCCCATATGTGCAGAATTTTTTTATGTTTAGATGATCATTAGTATTGATATTGGCCAGTCTATCTGCCTGTACTAACAGTGCTGGTGCATATATATATATATATATTGATATACATCCAGGACATATAGCTTTATAGTCCAGGATTTTCAAATCAAATATACACCTCTAAAATACATATTTCTCATACAACGTATAGTATTTCAGTTTGGATGAATCTCATCAATGCAATAGTTTCTGGAAAAACAATTCACACAAACTAAAAGGGAGTGAAAATTGGCCAATCAGTGTGCTGCAGCATATAAATATGTATATATTTTGCCGTACACTGATAGGCATAATATCCTGCCATTTGGTTCACAGATCAAGTGGAAGAAGTAGCCAATAGGGGAAAAAAGAAGAGGAGCTGTAAAAAATGTATACTTATATGTTTATGTTTTATTGGCCCCTTTTCTTTCTCTTAATTATCTCTTCATATGTGAACTAAATCAACATTTAGTGACTAACTTTTTTTGGTACCACAGAGGAAACTCAGAATCACGACTCAAAAGAAATGACTCATCCATTGTCTATTTAATTTGTTTTGTGATTCGCCCATTTGTTGATATGAAGTTACAGGTGTTGGATGACACACCAATCGCCCAAAATATTGACTAATTGTAATTCATTTGAAATCAAACACACAAGTCTAATGTATATTTCTATATATTTAATCACCTGTATTCCCATTTTTAAATCCTTCAGATTAGATTGTGTGCAAGAACTGTGACACTATAATGGGATTTCTCTAGTCTAAACCATTGCCCTAATAGAGTTAGCCACTGAATAGGCAGATTTTTGCCTTAATGTTTATGTGGCTTGAAATATAATTTCTATTGCTGAAAGGAGATTTTCTAAACTGAGTTTTTTTCTTATTTGATGTAACTTGAAAAAAGGTCATATTGCGTTTGTGCATATTCAGTTTATGTGCATATTTAATTTATGGTGTAAATTTGGAAGTTTTGCATTCTTAATGAGATGTTATGTGTAAAACCCTTAATAAAATATATATTATTAGTTTTATAAAACATTTTTTGCTGTCAATTAAAAAATATTTATTATGTTTTACCTTTTAAATAGACAACAAATGTTATAAGACAAATTCATCTTACATGGAATCCTATAAAAATATACAAATCATTCAAATAATTAAATGGAGATTATGTTTGTATTGTTTGGTAAGAGGGGGCTCATATCTGAGCTTTGTCTAAGGCTTCACAGAGCTGCCTTTGGATGCACAGATAAAAAATACTTATATAGACTTATCTATACATATAAAACTTATATACCATATTCTCCGCAAAGACTAAGCATTCTCAACATTTTTGAGATTCGTGCCTTTTGTATGCTAAATTAAGTTTTATGTGGGGCTGCAATAATGTTTCCCAGCAATAATAATTTTATTAATAGTAATAGTGATGGGTCAAAGTACTCAAATATAATACATTTGCTGTAAAAATGCACAATGCAATACCTTACTAAAGGTAAGGTAAGAATAACTTAGAACACGATCATGGGGAGAGAGGATGCAGGATGCCTTATTATTTTGTCTGTAAAAACTTCTGACTCATGTTGCAGAATGCTCTTACTGAGAAATATCAGTAAGAGTGCTTACAGGAATCTCGATTTCACTTAAAATGATATGTTTTCCAACAGCAGTGTTGAGACAATGTGTAAGAAGTTAACATGTTTTATTTTCGGTTATTTTAGGTTATATGTTTGCTTGAGCAAGACCCTTACTGCTTGTTGTTTCCATTTGCCAAACCTGTCCTGTAGCAGTTATTTGTATATTTTACTATAGGAGAAATAGGTTGATGTTTTATGAATAGTATCAATAATAATAATAACTTGAATTATAAAAACAATCAAAAGAAAAGAGATACATATATTTATTTTATACCCTTTTTTTTGGAGTGTAATTTTTTTTTAAAATTCTTTATTTTCTTTGTGCACGGAAAAGACATATCATGCTTACAGTGCCACAACAGCAAGAAAAACAGTTAATCTCATGGTTTAACATTAGTTAGGCATTGGACGGTGTTGCACATTTTTTTTTATATACACAGTAACGTCGCTCGTCAAATATTTACTCCTGCTCAGCTTATCAGAAGTGAGGTGCAGGGTTAGTTAGAACAGGAGAATATAAGTAGCATGAAATAGCATGAATTAACAGGAGATCAGTTCCACAGCTTAGTGCGGTATTGCACAGGCTTACAAGACTAACACAGCTTAGGTGGGCAGTTATTAGCAAGGTGTTGCATTAGTTAGGCATTAGATGATATTGCCCATATATATGTATTAAGATTAATGGTGTTTTTCAGGGTTCGCAATTAGCTAGGACAGATCATCTTTAAACTACATACAATCTGTGCTAAAGATTATAGTATGCATGGATATTACATAAGCTAACAGACATAGGTTGAACAAGTTACAGAAGCTAATGTCTGCTGAGTGTATGTTGCTGGGATTCCCATACCCATTAATGCTCATGGTAAAACATGTGATGGCAGGTAGCTGATTCCGTTAGCTTCAGGGCACATGCCACAAATAGAAAAAAGAGAACGCTTAGGATACTTAGGAGCTACATCTGATATTAATTTAGCGTTAATCTAGCGTCCATTATTGTCGGTTCGTCCTTTGGTTTAGCAGGTTGTCGGTATCCGGTAGGCAGGCTGTTCTCCGCTCGGGGGTTCTTCACCCTACTCCCTGTCTGGGCATTGCATCACAGAGGCTAATAAGTCCTCCGGGGGGGATCTGTATTGTCTTGTGCATGAGGTACCCTTTGGCTCACCGTTCGCTGCTCGAGGTCCTGTAGGTGGTTGCTTCCATCCGCTAAGGGTTGTGGTCTCCCGTGGTGGCAAATTGTGCCTAGGTGCATTTCCCAGTTGGGGTCATGATGCAGGGCGGTTGCTGGGCCGGGCCCGGCGGGTTTTACGGTGCTGTGTTTGTGTACATGGCCTGCCCTTTTTTCTCCCCTAGTGGCAATGCCGCTCTGGAGCTTCGCTTAGAAGTCACGGTCTGCTCTGTGGTGAGGGCAAGGGAAGTTCTGGCTGGGCTCCATCAGGCTTATGCTGGCGTGCAGCTATTGTGGCCCAAAAGTTTGTGAGTAAAGCGTCAAGCTTCTCCTGCAGGGTCAGTCGCTTAGTTTGAGGCAGTGGGCTGCACGAGGTGTCCGCCATCTTAGATTTAACGGGTGGGTAGATCCGAGTGTATACTAGTAGGAACTTTGCTAGTGAGACACTACTGAGGTTTTCAGGGATAACCCCCTCCGACTGGGGGGGGAGAAGGTGCAGGAAGGTCCTCTCGGGTGTGTGCTCAATCACAGGTTGAGGGATCGGCCGCCTCCCTCTCGTGCGCTGTTGTTAGGCCTTTTGCAGGCCTCGGACTCTCCTCCGGGGTTTTCCGCCGGTCACGGCCGGGCACACCACTGGGTTGCGAGTTGGGGATGCCTCCCGAGGTTGTAGATTTGGGTCGAGGGATCGTAGATTTGGGTCACTGAATTGCTTTTATTTCTCCATTAGGAGCCTGTTTGTGTAGAGCTTTCAGTGTGTGGGACCGCTCCGTGCGGCTGCCAGGCTCCGGCCCCCTGGAGTGTCATTTTTTATTTGTCTTAATAAATTTTTATTGCGTAGTCAGGCAATACAGTGAGAGGCAGATACAAAATATCAGCAATAATAGTAGATACAGTTTAAATATCCCACATAGTTAGCAGTTGGTATCTTGTAGTCTCTTGCCTGCCTCGATTGTCACATCATTAGCATCAGTGATATTCCTGGTACATCAATGTTTTAAACAATAATAAAAGGCAACTATGTACATGGCAATTAAATCAATAAAGAAAGAAAATTGGATCAGTGATAAAAATGAGTGTAGGTCACTCAGGTCAGTGAATCTAAAGGTTACCTTGCACCTATTTACTCGGCCACGGGTGGGAATACTATCGAATCTCAGGGTGTATGTCTGCTGTCTAAAAATGGGGCTGAGGTGTCTACCATTGACTCTACTACAATTTCAAGGGAGAAGGTCCCTGTCAGGGTGGTGTTAATTCCATTCCATGCTGAACCCATGGCCTCCAAATGCAGGCGTGTTTATCGTAAAAGTTAGAGGAGTAAGCTGTGAGTTCCACCATTTTTTTAAGTACCTCCACTCTTTGAGTCCATTCCGTCAGCGTAGGGACCTGGGGGGATCGCCAATGTAGTGGGACTAGGGACTTTGCTGCCAGCAATAGTAGTGGTAGGCATGATTTTTTTAATTTGGACAAAGAGAGATTTGTATGAAGCAGTAAGATTTCTGCATGAGTTGGGTTTAACCGAAGGCCAATGATGGGTATAACTTCACCCCAGAAGATCAGGGGTATAACTTCACCCCAGAATGTCCGTATTGGGGGACTGGACCACCAAATATGTGAGAATCTACCCCACATCTCCAGCATGGTTGTGATACCATCTAGTCATGAACTTCAGACCGACCTCCAATAGACTATAACTCGTCATCAGAGGGTAAGTAGCTAATTTTTTTCTTTTGCCACTGGTGAGTGGCAAAAGATACCAAGTTCCTTTTCTCATGCTTTAGTGTATGAGGGAAGAAGGTCATCCACCTGCGTCTGTATTGTTCTGTATTACTCCGATAGGAAATGTCTTGGACAAGGGCATGTGAGGACGGTTCACTCATGCTCAGTTAAACTATATGGTCACGATATCATATTCTGTAGTGTCTTCAGATAGTATATGATTTGGTGTTGTCTAATTTTTGTCCAAAAATGTAGGTGTGTGGTCATGTAGACAATGTGTCAATGTCAGGAGAGAGTGCGTGGTGCAGATGTCCTGTATCCGTATATTCAGGATGGTAGGGTAGCACGAGGACAGCCACGGACTTAGGTCCGCAGATATGGACAGGTTGTGTGTAAGCGATAGTAATGGGGAACAGGGTGGTGAGAGCCCTAATTCTGCTCTATATTTGTGCCATATTGTCAGAGTTGGTTGTATAGTAGGATGCTGGCATGTGTTCAGGCAGAGTACACAGTCATTGGCCTCCTGCCAGGGTAATGTGTCTATCGGTATGAAACTAGCCTCTATTTGCTTCCAGGGTTTATGTTTTCTCACGAAGGTGTTTGCAATATAGTGTTTTCTTGCATCAGGGTAACCCAGTCCCCCCCGTTCCAAGGTCTCCTCAAGTCCACCTGGTTGAGGCGCAGCTTCTTCCCAATCCAGACTGTGACGGACCGTCTGGCACCCCGACCGGTGCCTCCATTAATCAATGCTCCTAGTGCTCACCGAAGACTCCAAGCACTCCACCAGACACCTGGCATGTGTTCATGCAGAGTACGCAGTCATTGGCCTCCTGCCAGGGTAATGTGTTTATCGGTACGGTCATGAAACTAGCCTCTATTTGCTTCCAGGGTTTATGTTTTCTCGCGAAGGCGTTAGCAATATAGTATTTTCTTGCATCAGGGTAACCCAGTCCCCCCCTGTTCCAAGGTCTCCTCAAGTCCACCTGGTTGAGGCGCAGCTTCTTCCCCATCCAGACTGTGATGGACCACCTGGCACCCCGACCGGGTGGCTCTGTCAATCGATGCTCCTGGTGCTCACCGAAGACTCCACCAGACACCATAAGCACTGTACTAGAACACCATAACCACCGTAGACCCTTTGGTAAGTAAATATTTACAAAAGTATACATCTGTCCTGCTAAATGACCCATTACAAATGTGTGCCATTAGGGTAAATGCTAAGTTTCCTGAGAATAAGATTGCAGTTCCCCTAGATTTGGTCTCTGTGTGATTGCTAAAGAACCCAAGTGGAAACCTGTGATCTTTCAGAGTTGAGGCTGTGGGGCCTTTGAAATGGGTCTCCTGAATGAATACTATTGAGGCCCAAGCTCGTGAAACTCACGAAGTGCACGTGCCCTCTTCTCAGGTACATTCAACCCTTTGACGTTAATAGATATGACCTTCAGCTGTGCCATGTTCAGATATGTGTGAGTGGTACTATTATGTCCCTATGCTGTCAATGCATTCTATATATATATATATATATGAAAAGGTGAGAATCACTAAAATAACAATATGTCTAACTAAAGCTTTGTACAACAAAAGAATAGATTTTGAGCGATGCTGTTTACTGTAAAAGTGTGGTTGTAGCAAGATAAATCACCCTCTCTAACAGTACAATAAACTATTCGGGGGAAGCGATTTATGATGTGTTAGTGGTCACTGGACTCCAGTCCTATGCTACATGCCCCTTGAGGCAAAAGTGTCGTCGCGGGGACAAAGCGAAGATGGGCCCAGTATTTCCATCCGTGTTAGTGCCCTATCTACTGAGATATACAAATCAATTACACATATGCAACAATTATGAACATTACCCAATGCCCATCCCGGCAATGACCCCGATGTGCTACAGCCCCCCCAGAGCGACCCCGGCCCAGAGCGGAGTCTGGGCATTTCCCACCCAGTGTAAACTCATGGGAGATAAATGCTATCCCTCCCACCACATACCCCCACTCCAGGTACCAACCCCAGTGACCCAGAGAGGTGCCCGATGTGGGTGATCCTCTGGTGCAGGAAGGCGGCCCATGGCTCAAATCCCACTCTCGCTACTTGAAATATGTGGTAACCCGGGCTTTTCAGCTTCGTTCAAGTCATTAAGTCTGCGCTCATTGTAGCGGTGCTTCAAGCTTAAATATGTGGATGAGTATGAAAACTGGGGATTGGGCTCCTGCAGATGTGTCCAGTTAGAGCAGTGCAGGATCCGAGTCATCAGACCCCTTACAGTGGGATTATTCTCAAGTAATCATTTCCCCCTTATGGGTAGGTATTCAGAACGGATGTCATAGTCCAGGGCAATGTCCCACTCATGGCCAGCAGAGGGGGGAGCAAGGTTCATGCTCAGTCCAAACATTTAGGTAGGACCCACGAGGAACAAGTCCCTACTGGTCGTAGACACAAGATGAGCCCAGCAATGCGTCTGCAAATGACCGGCCAGGGCATTTCAAGTCCTTTGTCAGGTGGAATTTCACCATACTTCAGTCTTGGCCTGTATTTGTAGGGCGTCATGTTTCTCGATTCGATCATCACCTCGATGGGGTAGTGGCCCATTTGTCTCATCGAGGGCAGGTTGGCACCAGCCTGGGAGCAATAGTTCCATGTCACGGCAGGATATCCCAGATGTGCAATTCCAGCTTCTGGGCTAGTGGCGGGATCTCCTTGGGGCCCGTTATAGTATAAGAGAGGCCTTTGTGTGAGATAACCAGGCTTAGGGGCAATCCCCTTTGGCAGTCAGGGCCTCCGTGAGGGGATTGAGGACCCTACGCACCTGTAGTGTCGACCAGGCCATGTCCTGGTATATGGTGATGGTGTGCTGATGAAATTTAATGGGTGCAGTGTTACGCACCTCTCGCAGGAGATCCTCTTTGAAGGCAAAGTAGTGCAGCCTCCACATATCTCTCAGTGAATCTGAGGAGACGGATCTAGGCCACATTTGCCTCCTCTGGTCATCCCAATATATTATTAAAGAGTACAGTCAGTGTTTTTATGATATTTTCAGGGCCATCATTTTCAGGCACACCTCGCACCTGCAGGTTATTCCTGCAGCCCCTGTTGTCAATGTCTTCGACGTATCTGTGTCTGTGTCTTGACTCATGCATGCTGGCATGGAGTCTTCTTCCATATTCAGGTAGTCACTCAGCGCCATTTTGTCCTTCTGAGCAGGTCCTGGGCACTTGAAAGGAAAGAGTTTCATTTCAGCAGTTTC